TTTTGAACTTTTCGAAAAAAATTTCCATTTGTTTATTTTTTTTTTTATTGTATTTTAAAGCACAATGTAACTCTTTTGTATCTGTATTCTATAAGGAAACGCTCGAAGAAGACTAAGTAACGAGGAACGTATAAAAACGTGCGTAATCAGGGATGCCAACGCCGCTGATTATAGCGGAATGCTAATAAATGCGGCGGGGCTTATTTCTTATATTTCAGGCGCTCGCGTAAACGTCAGCTTCCTTCGCGCGAATGGTTCGTTTAGATAATCTCCCCGAGCCTCGATCACGCAGACTATTTATGGATCATGCGAATCCACAACACGCGCACGTATATGCTCTTTGTATTTAAATCTCCTGAACGCGAACGGCATTGCGCGAATCAGTCGAACCGGATGCCTCGTCTATTAAACGAGCGCATTATCGCGTGCACGAAGAATCAGCAATTTTTCCAATAATATCGGGGCCGAGAAATCCGACCGGATTCCCCGACGCGCCAGATTGCATCGAGCACAATAGGTTCGATTGGCGCGACAGCAACATGACGGCGCGTGCAGCGCACGAAATCTTAATTAAACATAAATGAGAATCGACACATGTTACGTTTCTCAATTGCGGACTTTGGTCTTGCTTGATGCAGAATTACAGGAGCTCGCGCGGTTCACTTTCACTTGGCGCGAACGATCAGGTCGGTTGCGAAATTCTAGCGGTTTTGTGTATCGATAGCGTGGATTTTGCTCGTTCGTAAATCCAGCTGCGGCGTAATACGATACTCCGTCTCGTTTTATGCGAGTATTTAATTCGTATTACTCTGCCGCTAATTTTAATTTCAAGCGAGTACTGATGAAATTCACGCGCTTGTAGCAACAATGAAATCGCAACAACGCAACAACGTTTCATCGCTTTTTCTCACCTGCATATTTAACGCGCGGCAGTTTCGTAACAGAAGAAAACTAATTAAGGTTCATTAAGCGATAATTGCAAGCAGCGCTTCGCGGACGGTGCGATGAATTTTAATTACAAGAGAAAAGTCCGGTGGTGCTAAAAAAATTATGTTTCTTTATCTTCATTTTTCGATTCACCTATCTTTGCCTTTATCATCAGCGCGAATGCGCGATTCTGAAAAACCCTGAAGACAGGCGTAATCGCGCGTGGCTCAAAGAAACGAAAATAAATAATAGAGCCAATCGAAACAAGCAGACGAGGGAGACTGAAAGGAAGACGTAAACGACGGGCGACGTAATGTTCTCCAAAGAGTTGTTCTAAAATCCTTATCGCTACAAACACATCGCAATAAAATCTTGAATAGGAAGATCATGGATGGAGATCCAAAAAAAAGTGGACCTGATCACGCGATGGCCGTCTTAACGACGATGTTCTCCCATTTATCAAGAATGGAAGTTGTCCCGCTTCTTGCGTCTATCCGTCACTCGTTAACCGGACGATCGTTACTATCGTAAAAGTCGGCTAGGTGAGGAGAAAAAAGAATGGAGAAAAGAGAGAATGAGAGAGAGAGAGAGAAGAAAAAAGAGGATCGGGTTAGAGGCGCGTAGTTTCGGAAAAATAATAGCGCTCGGGTCGCCTCGAGAGTGGCGAGATCGTCCAAGGTATAATAATTTCGGGGAACCTTCTCGCTCTCCTACGCCCTTCGCAACCACTTCCTCCGCTCCCCGTCCCGCGTCTGTGCGTCTGCTTCTCTCGTCTCCCGAGTATACATCTTTTCTTTGTTACGTTTACGAGCCTCGTCGGATCCGGAGTAAAACCGCGCCGCGTCCGCCCCACTCCTCTCCCCCCCGCACGCAGCACGTCGGTGAAATAAATCCGTGTATTCCGGAGGGTCTTAAATTCAACCGGAAATAGAATTTGTCCCGGGGCGGTCACGGGCGCGCCGGCGGTGGGCGCGAGGAAAGTCCGACGAAACGCTGGAAACAAGAAGAATCGAACGAAAGCGAGAGCCCGCCGCCGAGCCGCGCGACGAAGAAGAACGGGAAGAAGAGGAGAAAGCAGATGAGCGAGGACTTGCACGTGGCACCGCGCGGAATTATCCTGACACTTTTTCTCGGACGACAAAAAAAATATTTAGAGGAAAAATTTATCTTTTTCGAAGAAAGCGGGAATAAGCGTTGACTCTAACGTTTCGTTGATTGCAACCGTGACGGCCACGATGTCATTCATACGAATTATCATTCGTATGAAACAGAATTTTGAAGATTCAAATATATGATTATTCATTCTTTTTGCAGAGAAATTTTTTTTCGCAAAAGTGAAGTAATTTTCGTCGAATGTGACGTTTTAACGCAAGTTAAAAGAGCTCTTATAGAGCATGTATAAATGAGAGACGAGCCTCTGCTAGACGAGACTGGATATTTTTGCCTTCGTGGCAACGTGACAATCAAGATGTCATCCATCATGTTTCTCGAAGGTACCGACAGGCTTTCCAGGATAACGAACTTGTCTGGGATAAGCTCTGGTGAAGCGGCGACGACGGGAAGCATCTTAATCTGGATGGAAACGTCCAACCCGCGGCTTGGGCGAAAGTTTTCCACCAGGAGTTGCGCGCGAGCGACGAGTGCTCGGGGGGGCGGGGAGTTCGCGGCAGACGGATGGAGGCGCGAGCGCGACGTCACGAGAGCCGACGGAAGGGGAAGAAAAGGCTTTTCACCTTGAAAAGGAAGCAAGTGCACTCGAAGATATTCCCGAAAGCCGAAGAGAGGCATTGTACAGAATATGTATGCATCAGAGGCGCGCTCTCACAGCTTGCGCGACTACCCTGCGGGTTCGCGACGATCCAGCGGGCTTGACGCGAAACTCGTCGTTGAAGGCGCGGCATCGCACAGAGGCACGGCTTAAAATTTTCACGAGCCACTCGAGTCGGGAGGCCTCCTCCGCCTCCCGAAATCTGCAATTTGACGTACCTGCCTGGGTGGTGGATACTCGGCAAGAGGTCTGGTCCGGAAGAGGACGCGACGAAGGGAGGGAAAGAGAGAGAAAGGACGCGAGAGAGGCCTTTGCTCGCTGAAGAAAGTCAACCACCTACCGAGTGGGCGAACCGCTAGCGGAAAGAGGTGATCCTTCGTCGTGTTTACGTCTGCTTTTCGGAGAAAGTAAAAAGTAACCGGCAACGAGAAGGGGGTGGACGAGAGAGAGAGAGAAAAAAATGGAAAATAGTGCCTTCTCAAAGGTACTCTAGATACCTTACCAACCGAGTAACCACCCTTCGCCTCCTTCACCATCGCTATACTTAAGGCTCTTCTCGCGCTCTCTCTCTTTCTCTCTCTCTTGAGACGAACGACGTTGTTTTCGGCAATTCCTCCAGCGGGTCTTATCAAAAAAGTCAAAGAGGAGGCCGACGATGAAAAGAAGCACTACGGATTTCTAGTCCGTTCCGAAAGAGGAGGTCGCTGAAGTGGGAAGGGAAGTGGCGCAGGAAGGACGATGGAGGAGGCCCGAAGAGGCGCGCTGCGCGGAAAAGGAGGACATCTTAAATTTTTGACGAGGCCACTCGTGTCGTCGGGCAACGGCAACGGTAGAAAACGAGTGGTAGACCATCGGGTGGTTCGTAGCGTCGAGTTAGAACAAGCCGCTGCTGCCTACCGCGCCGAACAGCGGCGATGGCGGCGGCGTTTCACTGAAGTCTGCAATTTCGCGGATGCATCTTGGCTGACCTGGCTAGAGTCGCAGAGGAGGGGAAGAAGCGGGAGAAGGTCTTTGCCCGCTTTAGAAGAACTTCTAAAGCGCGCCCCTCCCCTCTCTCTTTTTCCCTCGTCCGATCTTGTGTTTCCTACTCTCTTCACTCTCTTCTCTCTCTCTCTCTCTCTTCTTTATCTTTATCTTTTTTTCGTTCGCTCATTCTCCAACACTCTCGCTCTCTTCCACCACTTTGCATTTCGACACTCTAGAATTTCGTTCCTACTTCGATCCTCGCGTCCGCGACCCCTCGTACATGCGGAACCCTCTACCTTTCCTCCTCTGTCTTGTTCTCTCGTTTCGTCGAAGATGGCGAGACGCCGGCCAGACCCTAGAGCCTACGTGGAGCGAAAGCGAAAGACGGAGTTGGACCGAAAACGGACGGTACGGTCGATGCTTCGTTCTCTCTTTCTCTCTCTCTCTCTCTCTCTCTCTCTCTCTCTCTCCGTTTCCCCGCTGTGTCGCGTCCCCTGCGAGCGCGAGAAGGACGAAGACCGAAGACGGAGGAAGTGCGAGGGAGATGGATAAACGCATGGTATTGATCCTGGAACCCCTTTACCCTCCATCCCGCCTTATCCTCGGCACCCTTCCACTATCATGATGAACCCCAAAGTTTTGTTCAGGGCTTTCGCCCCTTTTCCTATTTCTTTTATTCCCGCCCGCCGTCCTGGCGCACTCTCTCGTTGTTACTCCTATTTTCTTTTCCACACGCGGTAATTGGCCGTTGGAGAGTAACGAATTCCAGCCGGCACCACCGGAACCCTTCGCCGATGTGACGCAAGTTGACCTTGAACTCGAGATGTACCGTCCGCGGCGTTTACTTTCCTTCTTTCATATGTGACATATTTTTCTCGCCCTGAATCGGATATTGAATACTGACCTCTTTAAAGTGACAATACACATAGAAATGATGTCTCGCAATTTTCTTCGTAGATTTTTTTACATTAATTCTTAGCGATTTTTAACTGTTTTTTCGTTATTTATAATTATTATAAACATCCTATTCGCGATATCAAGCGATAAGCGCGGGGACGATTTATTAGAAATAATATTAATTCACTTAAAAGAGAAAATATTTTGCATAGATCGGCAACGATCTTGTGTATTCGAGCAACGCCTTTCTCAACAAGGCAAAACTATGCCTTTCAGAGATGCCATTAGAAAAAAACAAACAAACATAGCCATCTCATTGACGCGAGCGATAAAAAGGATGTTGCTTGTCTATGCATACCGCAACCTTTGAAGCAAAGGACGCTGTAAAGAAGAAGTGGTGTTCCCAGATTTTAATTAATGCGATCTCTTTTATTTCTTTCAGACTCGGCAGCCAGTGACTGGAAATTTCGATCCGTGCCGAAGACTGGAGGTGGAGGACGTGACAAAGCTAGACCGTGACAGCCTTCTACCACGCAACCGTGTCGCTATGTAAAACAAACGGGAAGAATTGATTTCCGCGCTCTCATTAAGGAAAATTCAAAGTTGTAGATGAGGCGGATCGACAAATAGACGCGTATTCGGTTCTGTGATATCGACTCACACGCATCGAAGTAACATTACTATTTATCTAACGCTAAGTTTAAAAATACCGAACGGGCGATTGCACGCGTGAAAAAATTCGGAAAATAGAGAAAAAGGAATTGGCGGCGAGTGATAAGCTGGAGCACAAACGGGCGCGGAAAATTGGACGAAGGTGGAGAAATTCGGCAGCGGCGACCGGTTGCTGCGTGTCGCCGTACGCCGTGATCGCGCAGGACGACGACTTGGCGACGAGGCGAAGCGAAACGCGTAGAGGAGGCATGAGGAGGCGAGAGTGACGGCATTGCGCCCGGTGTGCTGCATCCTCGCACAGATCGTGAGAGGACCGGCGGTGGTGGCGGCCGTCCACCGCGGCGGCAGTGGGGTCCAACACGGCGATAAGAATGGCCCCCTTCAATATGGCAGGCGTAGCAGGCCTTCTAGCCACCTGCGCCGCCGTTGCTGCTTCCGCTGCCCACCTTCTGCCGTTGCTGCTGCTGCTAATCTGCCCGCGAGGGACCCCGGCGGAACAAGGTAAGCGTCCGCTCCTTCGATTTCCTACCTCCTCTCTTACCTTCTTCCGCCTGTACAGAGCTAATCAAGTTGGGATGATAGTTGACGGCGACACCTCGGGTCGCGATACATCGCGCCCGATTGCCAGTCTCGGATGTATACTTAGCCAGATGCGTCGAGTTTGAATCGAAGCGGTTACCGTCGCCGCGTGATCGACCGATCTGTGGATCGTCTCCGAAGGCGAAGTCGTTATCGTTTATCGTCAACCGGAATCGTTGATGACTTAATTATCTCCGCCGATGCGGGTTTCTTTAATCTTCGAGAATTTATGTATTTCTAGATTCCGCGTTTTACTGAGAAAAAGAAAATACTTTGAAATTATTACGAGGAATACGTTGTGCTTTTAACACAAGATTCTCGATGTTGTGGAAAGAATTTTTGGAAGAAAAACTTGGAAAAAAAATTAATGCGATACAATGTTGCGAATATAATTAAATACGATAGATTAATTGCGAAAATAACTTGATACGTCTAATCGTTTGCGCGATACCACCTTTGTCCCGATCCGTGAGACATTGGCACGGTCCTTCTTTTGAGTAACGGAGAAGCGGAGGTAAGGGACACGTTAGCTCGCATCAAGCCGACGTTTCCTGACGCTCCGGTCGTAATTTCGCGGAGCGGCGCGGCGCGGCGCGGCGCGGCGGCCGCGTGATTTATTGCACGGGGACGCTGAATGCGAAAGGAAGAGGGAGAAAGAGAGAACGAAATTGCCACGACACTAATTGCGTGCGCGCCGCTATACTTGCCCACACGAGTATTCTAGCGGCCGATCACGTGGCGGCTATGAGTTCCTCATCTACTTTAACTCGCATTAAGCTATTATTTCATATAATCCGCCTGCTCCTGTCTTCCACGTGAAACAAAACCCTGCACACTTTATTCAGCGTTTTTTCCAACATCGTATATCCGCGATCCTACGCGTGCTCGCTTTTTTATATCACGCGATCTTAATACGCGGACTGTGACAACTGTCGTTAAATTAGCAAAATATTTTACAGCTTTGTATTCAGCAATTTCTTTTCTCGGTCCAAACTACCTCGGACAATTCTGTTCCAAGTGTAGTCGAAAGGTCAAATATTAACGGGTGGAAATCTCAGAGATCCACTTATACTAATTAAGCACTTTGTCTCTCATCCGTCCTTAATCGCGATATAATTCGTCGTCGCATTGAGATTCACGGCAACGCGCTTTTAATTTTTTCTTCTTTCCTCTCCCCTCTCTCTTTTTTCTTCGCCTTGCGAGCGCCGCCGAGTCAGTGTCCCGAGGCGATGGACGTTGTTTGCTCGGATAAAGGATTCCTCTGTGTGCACTGCCCTCGTCCCGATCGTTCGTTGCGAACGTGATTTAACGGAGCCCAAGATTGGCCTTCCAGTCCCATTATGCGTTTCTGAAGATCATCCGCGCGGGCTACCCGGAACGTTTTCCATATTTTAACCGAAAAAAAGCCTGGCGCCTCGGGCGTCTCGATGGCTCGCCCTCTCCGCTCATTCCGCCCTCCCCCTCCCGCCCTGTCGTAGAGGGGAATAACGATAATTTCGTAATGCGGACCAATCTTCCGAATTGCGAGATCGTCCGAGGTGCCGGTAGTTAGCGCTTGGGGATTAAAAGGAGATCGTTTCGTCGCGCTTTCGGAGACGGCTGGCGCGGCGGCTGCTCGAGACGCAGAGACGCCTCCACGAAACTTGCAGCGTCCCGCCTTATTTTGCACGATGCGGTTTTCGAGCGTTTATGTAAAATAAGACGTACATGGGGCGGATCCGACTCTTAGACCTTGGGGAACTTTTTTGCAACTAATGCTCGAATTAAGAATCTATTAAAATAAAACCCGCTCTGCGTTGAAAACGGACAACCAAATTTTATTAGCCGCCTGCGTTTCCGAAATTTTATTCTTTCACGCGTCCTTCGCTTCATGAAAGTTATTGAATTTTTCGAGAAAAGATTAATTAAAGATTGATGGAAAAATTTATATAGCTAGGTGAAAATTTGCAACACCCTGTACACTGTATACATATCGCTAGATAATAATCGAGAGACGAATCCGCGCGCTTCCAGCTTCTGGCGAATTTCGGCTGACTCGGTTTCGAGATCTCCCGGGTTGCATCCTGCGATCGCGGCTACCGCGGACTTCCCGCGGCAAGTTTCTCCGGCGGCAGTGCTCCCTCGGGGAGTTCCTCTTCTCCCCGCGCCCCCCCCCTCGGTACGTAACGCGTTTAATGGAACTTGCCAAGGATCCGTTCCCAGTGGACCGTGTCTGCCGATGGAGGCGGCTAACTTCGTTTCCCTCGACTCGCACGAAACGCGAGCTCCTCGTTATCCTTGCCCCCGCGATATCTTTGCGAACGCTCGTCGTCCTCTCCGCCCCCCCCTCACCGCCCGCCATCGCTGCCGCTAACATTCGCGAACTTTATCCTTCGATCGCATTCGTGATCCCTAAGACGCGCGTCCATTACCTTAGTTTCCGAACTTTCAAATTTAGAGGTACGAGCGCGCAGCTCCGAGAGGGAACATCGCTCGCTCCGAGAGAACTTGCGCGCGAATTATCGAGACTTAAAATTCTTCACAGACGCGCGATGTCCCGCGAGATCGAATTCCTAAACTGCCTCCCGAAGTCGTGAATGCACATATTCAATCTCTCTCGCGACACAAACCATCGATCTATTTTTTTTAACGAAGGAACACACATTTTTCAATATTAAAAAATTTCTTCACAAATAAACGCATAGGATATGTTACACTCACAATCTCTCGACATTGAGAGTATGGTTAAAAATTTACACCTAAATAACTGAATTAATGGAAATACGTATTTTATACGGTCGTAAGTATTAAGTGGAAAAAAAAAAAAAAAAAAACCACTAATCTATTATACATAGTTTAATCTCGTCTTATCGCGCGCTCGATCACGGATGAGCTCTTTCGGGAATTTTAGACGAACCGAATCCTGTAATACGGCGGTCGGAACTCAATTACTTTCTCGAGGTAAGGCCCGCGTTCGCCTACCGCCGTTCATTCGCGCGTTCCGAACTCATTTACCGTAGAAGCGAGTTCGTCCATCGTCCTGCTCGCCGGCGATCCGATCGCCGAGAGAGCCGGCGGGACCCCACCCAAGACACGAAACTTCCTTTCATTCGATTCCGTTGTACGTAGCGGGCATTAGCCGGGAGCTAACGCGAAATCAGAAATAGAGCGAATCGAAGTTACGTCGGCCAACGACGACGAAGACGTTCTCGTAGTCTACCCGCTCGCAAGTTGTCCGTCGCTAACTTCTCCGCTGATTCGTTTACCGTAAACGCATTAATCGATGCCGCCCCCTCGATGCAGCTCTCTTCTCTCGGGTGCCCCGAGACGTTGATTAAATTCCAGCTAATCCCGCGCTACGAGCGATCCTTCGTCCTGTCTCTGCCATCACGCGCGCGTGCGAACTTGGAAGCTGTCGTAGCGTTTCTGTCGCGCTCGAAAGACGGAGCAGGTCGCCCCGCTGCCGTCCGCGGACGGCAGCGAGGACGAAGTTAGCGATTCCCCGGTGCGGAAGGCGGTATCGGGATTCCCGGGGAGCGAGGAGATGGACCGGCGGCGACGGCAGTAGCCGGGAACGGGTCTCGCGAGATGCAGTTCTCTTCTCTCGCCGGGCAAACTCGATTGCCTCCGCGAAAAGGCAGAAAGACTCGTTCGAGCTGCGCTCGTGGCTGTGCGCGAGCTCGTCTCTCTTCTCTCTCTCTCTCTGTCTCTCTCTCTCTCTCTCTCTCTCGCTCTCCGGGTGCTCCTATCTTCTCTCTCTCTTTCTCTCCTTTCCTACACTCTCAGGGCACGGTGAGTAAGAGACGCGGCAACGCCGCAGGAATGCCCCCGGCCAACCCACCGCGTGCATACCTGTACAACCTACTACTCTGATCCTGGGCCCCGACTATACGCGAAGGCAGCCTGGCAGCATCCTATCGGCCCGACAAGGACGGAGTAGGACTTGTCCCCGATCGTCCGAGAAATGAAGGGGCAGAAGGGGAGAGGGGAACGGAGCGGAGAAAGAAAGAGAAAGAGAGACGGAGAGAGGGAAGGACTGTGCCCGGCTCTCCTCGTGTCTGTTATGTACATGCGTGTGTGTTGTGTGAAGGTGGAAGAGAGGGCTTATGGTTCCGGCCTGTGTGCGCTGCCCATGCGCGAGTGGAAAAGATCACACGACGAATGTAGGCTACTCTCATTGACCGAGCCCAACAGCGCTATGGCACCGCGGCCGGAATGAGATAGAGAGATAAGGAGAGAGGGAGGGGGGGGGAAGAATTCGCAGTGGTATCCTGCCAGATGCATCGGTGCGCCGCGGCGAAAATGCATCTATCGTGAAATTGCCCGTCTTGCGATTCGAGTCGTCTTATGCGCGCTTCTGTTCCATTATGCAACGCGGAGAGGTATGCTTTATTCCGTGTCTGGTATCATTAAAAATTACTGAGCAACGTTTTCCGCGAATAAAAATGTCAAAGGATCTTACACGCTATGCCCCGTTTGCGCGAGAAAAGACCGGACTTTGCACGAGCGTGATAATTTACGCGGTATCGCGCGCGCCTCGATTTCGGCATGAATTAAGAAAATGACGTTCGCCGAGTTGATGTATTCGCGCTATTAAGCGTCGTTATCGGAAACCTGTCAATGTATCGATACGACGTTTAACTTATATCTTCGGAGAATGTTGGTTTTATCGATACCGGTGGACGCGAGTGTCCGCGCTCGATCATCGCCGCCGGTCGATCTTTCAAATCGCCGCTCTGGCGAGCCGAAAAAACTTCATATTTTTAACTCGACGCTGTCGTGTATCCCTCTTTCTCTCTCTCTCCTCTCCGCTGCAGAATATCAATGCGATTTAAATATTCAATATCATCGGCGACATGCAATATCTGCTCTCGGTGGCGCAAGCTGTGGCACGGGCCACAAAGGGGCGACTCCGGTATAACCTGCCAGAATAAAAATCAGTA